AAAGAGGAGAGGCACCTGATATATGTTCTCTAGGCCTTTTAGAAAACATGGAGTTGTTCCTTTGGCAACATATACGCGAATTGACAAAAAGGTGATATTGTAGACATTAAGGGAATGGGTACTATTCAAAAAGGAATGCCCTACAAATGTTACTATGGCAAAACTGGAAGAGTCTACAATGTTACCCAGAATGCTGTTGGCATTGTTGTGAACAAGTAAGTTAAGGGCAAGATTCTTGCCAAGAGAATCAATGTGCGTATTGAGCAATATTAAACATTCTAAGAGCAGAGATAGCTTCCTAAAACGAGTGAAGGAAAATGACCAGGAAAAGAAAGAAGCCAAAGAGAAAGGGACCTGGGTTCAACTAAAGCGCCAGCCTGCTCCACCCAGAGAACACACTTTGTGAGAACCAATGGAAAGGAGCCTGAGCTACTGAACCTATTCCCTATGAATTCACGGCATGGTGGGTGTTAAAAATAAATTAATCTGTGGTCTATTAAAAAAAAAAAAAGAAGAAATTAAGAGCAAGTGGCCAATAGTGGGTGTGGTGGTTAAAGTGCTGAACTCCCACAAGGCCGACTGCAATTCAAGCCCTGGACTAGGCAGCTTGATTTCTCTCTCTCTTTAAAAAGAATTATTTATTGAACTTTGTTTATTTATTTAATTTGACCAGAGAACAGCTGACAGAGAGAGAGAAGGAAGGAGGGACAGAGGAAAGGAGGGGGGGAGGGAAGAAGAGAAAGTGAGAAAGCGAACCACCAGGTCCAGGACTCAAACCACAGTCGGCCATGTGGGAGTCCAGTGCCCCTAACCACGATGACACCTGCCAGCCCTGATTTCTCACTTTCTCTTTGGTCAAGTTAAAAAATAAATAATAATAACAAAATTAAATAAATATTTTTTTAGAAATTAAGAGCAAGTGCTAAAAACAGAGGGATGGCGTTGAGTGAAAAAGGAAAAGAAAGGGGCCAGCAGGTGGCTTAGTGGTTAAGGTGTTGGACTCCCACATGGACAACCTTGGTACAAGTCCCAGACATTGAGGCTTCCATTCTCATGTTCCCTCTCTAGTGAGCACATGTGCCCTAAGGAAAATTGAAAAAAAAAAACAAAAACCACCAAAATTAATTTTTAGAAAAAAGGAAACAAAAGACAGGAAGTATTTTTATATTCAAAATTATCCAAAAAGATTCATTTTTGCCTTCATAATTTTGGAAGTTGAAAAAATGTTTTAAAGAATTATTTTATTGGGGAGACCAGCAGTTGGTGTAATGGCTATGTTGCTGGACTCCGATGTAGTTGACCGCAGTTCGGGTCCCAGACCCGGAGGCTTAAACTCACGCCAGGAGTGTGCATGCGTGCCCAAGATCCCGAGAGGAGAATGGAAGAGAAGGGACTGCGGAGTGGCCATCTCCCCTGGGGGGCAATTTCTCGCTTTCTCTGTTTCTGGTTAGGCGAAGTGCAGTGCCCTATAACAAAAACCTCTCCGAAAAAAAAAATTTATTTATTTATTATTATTTTCCTGTTTGATCAGAGGGAGGGAAAGTGAGAAAGTAAGCCACAAGGTCCAGAACTTGAACAGTGGTCTGGTCATGTGGGAGTCCAGCGCCCTTAACCACCATCCACCTGCCAGCCCCCCCGAGTTGAAATTTGTCTCAAATAGGGTTTACCTATCAGAGACTGCATGCAAGAAGAGCATTTATGGATTCTCTAAGGAGACAAATACCTCACATAAGATGTATCTGCTCTTTACTGTCATTTGTGCCAACAGGTTTTTATCTCGTATAACTATTAATATATATGGTTTAGCCTGAAATATGCTCAAGGAAAGAGGACCTTGATTTCTCCCCTTGAGTGAAAGGCCCCACTCACTTAGCTATTTTGCCAGGTGCGCACATGCTTGTTAAGGTTTCTCATCTTCTACCGGCTCGCTGTGGTACTCTGCCACATACAGACTCTTATCGATGTTGCTCGGGATAGGTTTAATTTCTGTTCCCAGCTGCTCCTCAATACTTTTCAGGTTGAAGCGATCATCATACGTGATCAAGTTGATGGCTAAGCCAAGATGACCAAAACGACCTAACAAAAAAATTACAATAAAAAAATCTTTAAGTGGCAAAACCACATTAATATCTATGTTCAGTGTTATTACGAGTAGATGAAACTTCTTATGGTTTCCTCATACACATTAGCCCACCGCTTCAGGTTTCATAGCTTTTCCAAAGTACTACTTTATTTTACATTGGACAAAATGCTCATTTGTGTCAAGTTGCCAAAACAGTCTGAACAGTACAATCAGACTGCACCAGCTAATGACTGAAGTCAAGTTCGCTTCTATTAATTAACCTCAACTTAAAGCTATCTTACTTTTTTTTTTTTAAAAAAGATTTTTGCTATAGAGCATGTGCTTGCTGAAGACAGAAAGGAGAGAGAGAAAGTGAGAACTCACCCCCCCAGGGGGGATGGCCACACGTCAATTCCTTCTCTTGAGACTGTGAGTCCATGCACACACGAACCTGGCATGAGTTTCATGCCACTGGGTTCGACTCTAACTGTGATCAACCAGGTGGAAGTCCAGCATCTTAACCTGCTGGTGCCTTAACTTTTCTTTTTTTTAATCCTGAATCATTTTATTGTTTACTTATTTATTTTTAATTTCAATTTATCTATTTACATTCACTTACTATACACATCATTATAGCATACAAAATGAGATTTTCCATCCAGAATACACTGTATATTGGCTCAATCAAGCACATCAACATAGGTGTTATCAACAAATATTTTCCATTTCTTGTTTCCTGTACATTTTGCTTTTTTCCCCATCCTTGATTCCCTATCTCTTGCCCTCTGCCATCTTCCACCCTCCTCCCACACTGTTAACGATATCCATGGTTGCTTTTCATGCCCTTTCCTCCCCACATTTTATTGATTCACTAAAGAGCTCAATTAATCTAAATATTTTCAATAGCAAGCGCAACTGATATATGCATATCCATGAACATAAGTCTGACTTTAGGCATAAACCTCCGTGAGTAGAATGAACATAATATAAAAAAGTTTTTGTTTTTTTTTTTCCTGAAATTTTAAAAATTAATTAATTTACATTCATTCCCTAAGCATCGTCACAACATACAAAATGTGATTTCCCATCCAGAATACACTGTATAGTGACTCAATCATGTATGTTATTGTTAATAATTTTCCATTTCTAGTTTCATTCATATATATATACATATATATATATACACATATATACATATATGAATAAAACCTTAAAGAGTTTACCAACACCAGACTAGATCTCAAACCAGACCAGATCTCAAGAAGTTCTCAAGGAAGTGCTATAATAGGAAAATTAAATACAGACACATAGAAATAAGAGTTCAAAAACTAAAAATGGCCAACTTAATCATAGGGACAAGTCTAGAGTTGAATATTATGTCCCAGAATTTGATCGGGAAGATCAAACCACAACAGAAGATAGATTAAGTACATGAGACCGAACTGGTGAAATGGCATTTTATGACCTTTGACCAAAACATTGCTGATTTTCTTCTAGGCTTTGTTGTCCAGTTTTAAATACTTTTGTCCTTTCTTGAGCTAAATACATACATACATATACATATATATATATACATATATATCTCCCCCACTTCTGACCCTCTGCCCTTTCCCAACCTCTTTTCACACTGTCTCTGGTGTCTACAGTTCTCTTCCATTCTTTTCCCCTCCATTTTATTGATCACACAATTTCTTAAATAATCTAACTACTTTCAATAGGAAGTTCAGCTGGTAATTTCAAGAAAAGCAGTTTTAACTTTAATAAATCAAAGAAATGCTGAGGAACTTTGCTTAAAACTTAAAGCCAGGAAACAGGTTATGACTCTGTTCAAATAGTAGGTACATGAAACTACCAACAGCTCAAGAAAGGACATTTTATTGGAGAATGTTCTTGTCTTTTCTTCCCATATGGATAATCTTGCCGAGTACAATATTCTTGGCTGAAATTGCTTTTCCCTTAACATCTTGAATATATTTTCCCATTCTTTCCTCGCTCGCATTGTTTCCAATGAGAGGTCTTTGTCAGCCTAATGGGATACCCTTTGTAGGTAACTTGCCATTTCTCTCTTGCCAATCTTAGTATCTTGTCTTTGTCTGTGGTTTTGGTCAATCTGGCTATTATGTGTCCTGGAGAAGATCTTGGGTTGATTCTATTTGGGGTCCTTTGTATTTCTTGGGACTGGATCTTTGAGTGCCTCTCTAGTTTTGGAAAGTTTTTTTTGCAGGATTTCATGGAATAGATTATCAATGCCCTTATGGGTCTCTTCACCTTCTGGGATACCAAATTATCTGGATGTTTGGCCATTTGATGGTATCTAGTATTTCTCATATATTATTCTCAGTTTTTTGGGGGCAATTTTCTCAGTCTATGTGGTGCATTTTTCTAGGCCAGCAATTTTCTCTTCTAAGTCTGAGATTCTATTTTCTGCACGATCTAGTCTGCTTTTAATACTTTCAAGGGAGATTTTGACTTCCTGTTTTATAGCCTTCATCTCTAATAGGTCCATTTGATTCTTTTTTAAAGAGTGTATTTCCTCTTTTAGGTCTTGCAAGAATTTCCTCACCTCCTGTAACTCGTCATCTCCTTTCTCCTTTCTCTTCTGCCGTTCATTGTCTCTTCTCTTACATCTCTGTTAGCTTCATCATGAATATTTTAAATTCTTTATAAGACATTTCCATGACTCCCATTGCACTGTCTGTGGATGAAGAGGAGTTATTCTTTACCCTGGGAGGAGAGGTATTTTCTTGCTTTCCCATATTTCTTGTGACCCTGTAGTGATTTCTAGTCATCTGATGGATGGTGTGTTTCCTCCCAAACGTGAAGTTCAATCTGAGCGTTCAGGAGTGTGCAGAAAGAGGTGATCTGGAATGTTTTTGCAGTTCCGTACTGATCCCATTCGAGTTTGTGGGCTGGAGGCTGAATTATCAGTAGAAAACCTTCATTTCTCTTTTCTCCCTGAAACCACTAGTTCTCAGGAGCCATGAAGTTGTCTTCTTCTCTTTTCTTCATAAATGTTCAAGAATGAATTAGTTCTGAATTATCAAACAACTGAATTAACATTAATTCACTGTTTTCATAGCTACCATACTTTCACAAAGGAGCAAAATTTAGTCATAGTTTCCAAAAAGCAACTTCTGGCTGAGAACACCTTTCTGTCCCTCACCTGATCTTCCAATACGATGAAGATAGGTCTCCGCCAGCTTTGGGAAGTCAAAGTTTATTACCACATTCACAGCTTGTATATCAATACCTCGGGTAAACAAATCTTAAAAGAAAAGAAATAATTTCCATTATTATTTTTCAAACAAGCCCCTCAGTATAGTATTTCAATTTAAAAAATTATTCATTTATTTTTACTTATTCATTTACTTTAATTTGATCAGAGAGAGACAAAGGGGGGAGGGGAGTGAGAAAACAAGCCGCTAGGTCCGGGAACTAAACCACTGTTGGGCACGTGCGTGTCCAGCGCTTTAACCACCACTTTGCTTCTTCCTGAGAACAATACTTTTAAGATGTATTTCTGTATAATCTAAGTTTATTAATAACTTCATTCAGTTATTCAAATGTATTTCTAAATTACTGGTACTGCCTTTCATGATTATATCACCATAAACAATTTTATTTTTAAAAATGATTTATTATTTTGAATTTTCTGCAGGGCACATGTGCTTACCAGGGAGACATAAGAGATGGAGGGGTGGTAGAGGTGGTAAGAAAGTCAGCCTCAGTCAGCCAGGTGGGAGTCCAGCACCTTGACCACCATGCCACCTGCTGGTCCCACTGTAAACAAGTTTACTTTTGCCCAATCTTGAAAGTTTTTAAAAAATGGTCTAAGGTGGGACAGCAGGAGGCGCAGTGGCTAAGGCACTGGACACTCACATGGTAAATCATGGTTCAAGTCTTGGATTCTGTGTTTCAAAGTCATGCTGGGTACATGTTGGTGCGTGCCAAAAGTTCTGAGAGGAGAATGGTGATGGGAATGTGGTGTGACCATCCCCCACGGTGGTGATTTCTCACTTTCCCTCTCTCTACTGCAAGCATACATACCCTATGGCAAAAACCTAAAAAGTGGGGCCAGCAAGTGGCATAGTGGTTAAGGCACTGGACTCTCACATGGTCAGTTGCGGTTTAAGTTCTTAACCTTACAGTCTGAAAATCACATCAGGCACGTGTGTGCATGCCTAAAATCCCCAGAAGAGAAGGGATGGGACATGGTTATTCCCCCTGTGGGGGCATTTCTCATCTTCCCTCTCTCTGTCTCTCTGGAGAGCACACATGCCCCATGGCTAAAAGGTCTAAGGCAGTTGTGCAAATGCAAGAGCAGGAGTGAAATAGTGCACTATAAACTCATTAACTGGGTAAATTATAAACTTATAAATGAGTCTCAGGAATAGCAATAGGTTTTTATAGTCTGCCTTCTAGTATTTAATCCAAGATGTTTTAAAAAATTTTGTTACGTAATCCCAGATAGTTCATAAAGAGGTAAATTACACTAGCAGTAATTATGCTTACTTTAGAACTCATTCATCCCATTAGTTTGAATGATTTGTAACAGATCTGAGATAAGCCAACACACAAATTCCTTCTACTTGCTTCTAGTCCCACAATTACTACGGTAGTTGAAGTCCTGATAAAACTACAAGCAAAACACTACGATAGGTTAACCACTACGTATTCTTTCCCAAACAGCACCACATTCCAAAATAATCCATGATGGTCAAACTGATACTTCTTTATTCTGCTGCCAGAGAGCGAGCATGTGTAAGATCACATGCACCTTCCTCAGGGGGCATGGTTCGACTGACACCCTGTTTCCATCAGGATGGGGGCCAAGTATATGGCCGTGCCCAGTGTTTTTTTTTTTTTTTTTCCAAGTTACTGAGGCTAGGACTTGACCTGTAGTTAGTCTTGTAGGAACCAGCTCCCTAGGCACAGTATTTAACTGCTATTCTATGTGGTCCTCTAGATAATACTTACATCGACATTCAAGGTTTTCTACTCTACATTTTGGTGCTAATATACTTCTTTTAACACATCTCAAAACCTTCTTCCCTACTCCACTCATTCACTTACCCTTTTGCAAACGTATTTCTTAACTCTCTGTGGACCACTTTTTATCTCAGTCCTCAAACTTAAACTACTTCCTTCTACATGTCTGAAACTTTCCTCGCCAATAAGCCCAATTAAAATTTCATCCCTTTGGGACCAGCAGTTAGCTGGACTCTCATGTAGTAGACCACAGTTCATGTCCCAGACCTGGTGGCTTAAAACTCACGCCAAGCGTGTGTGCGTGCATGCCCAAGATCCCGAGAGGAGAATGGAGGAGAAGGAATTGTGGTGTGGCTATCCCCCCTCGGGGGTGATTTCTCGCTTTCTGTCTCTATGTCTCTCTCTGTCTGTCTGGCGAGCACACACGCCCTATAGCAAAAAACTTTCCCCCCTCCCACCCCCCAAAAAAACCTAAAAAACAAAACAAAACAAAACAAAACAAAAAAAACAAAGAAGAAAATAAAATAAAAAATAAAAAAATTTCATCCCTTCTTGGGGCTGGCAGATGGCATAGTGTTTAAGGGCTCTGGACTCACATAACTGACCATGGTTTGAATCCTGGACTCGATTTAATCACGGCTCTCTGAAGAACAGGGTAGTATTTTATACCTTTATACTTTATTTTATAGGTAGTATTTTATCCTTTATATTATATGTTTCTTATACATACATGTTACTTAAAATGTTATTTAATTTTTTAACATATTACACATTGCTCTTACAAACCAGTCAAGAGAAAGAACTTGCATTTCAAAACCTTATCTGACGGGGCCAGCAGGTGGCATGGTGGTTAAGGCGCTGGATACTCCCACATGGCTGACCACAGTTCAACTCTTGGACCTGGTGGCTTGGTTTTTCACTTTCTCACTTCCTCTCTCTCTTTCTCTGTGTCTGGTCAAATTAAAATAAATGAATGAATAAATAAAATAAAATAAATAATAAAAAAAAATCCTTATCTGAGAATAACCCTAATGATTAAAAATAAAACCAGTGGGGTCAGCAGGTGGTGTGGTTGTTAAAGTGCTGGATTCCTACATGGCTGACTGGAGTTCAAATCCTGCCCTTGTGGCTTGCCTTCTCACTTTTCTGCTCTCTGTCTCACTTGTCAAATTAAAAAATAACAACAAATAAAATTAAATAATTCTTAAAAACAAAACCACCCAGCAATTGTTATCAGTGTGCAAGTACTTTAAGTACTAAAACCCCTTTCTATTTCTTTTTTAAAAAATTTTGTGGGACTAGCAGGTGGCATAATGGTTACATTGCTGGACTCCCATATGGCTGACTGTGGTAAAAGTCCAGAACCTGGTGGCTTAAAACTCAAGCTGGGCACATGTGCATGTATGCCCAAAATCACCAGAGAAGACTGAAAGAGAAGGGATTGTGGCATGGTCATCCCCCTTGGGAGGTGATTTATTGTTTTCTGTCTCTCTGGTGAGAGCACATGCCTTATAGCAAAAATCTCTAAAAAAAAAAAAAATTGTGGGGACCAAAAGGTGGCATGATGGTTAAGGTGCTGGACACTACTAGGTGGCTGACCACCGTTTGAGTCCCGGACCTGGTGGCTTGCTTTCTCACTTCCTCTCTCTGGTCAAATTAAAATAAATGACTAATTATCTAAAAAATATATGTAAAAAGGAAAAAATTGCTAGAGGGAGCATGTGTTCACCAGGAGAGAGAGAGAGAGTACCCTTCCACACCCCAGGAGTGCAGTGATAAGGCAATCCTTCCTCTTCCATTCTCTTCTTGGGATTTTGGCCATGCACGCACGCATGCACATGGGCCTGGAATAGGGTCCAGGACTTGAACTGCAAAATCGGCCATGTGGAACCAAGCTGTCTTAAAAAGCCACGTTGGGGCCAGCAGGTTGGTATAGTGGTTAAGGTGCTGGACTCCCACATGGTTGGTCTACCATGGTTCAGATGGTAAGTTTGAGTCCTGGACCAAGTGGCTTGAAACTCTCACTAGGTGTGTGGGCATATGTGCCCAAAACCCAGAGAGAAGAATGGAGAAGGGACTGTGGCAATGGCCACCCCCCCCCGCCCCCAAGCAGGTGATTTCTCACTTTCTGTCTGTCTCTCCAGAGAACATATGCGTCCTATAGCAAAAATCTCTCCCTCTCAAAAAAAGAAAAAGCGGGAACCAGCAGTTAGCATAATGGCTATGTTGCTGGACTGCCATGTAGTTGACCGCAGTTCGCATCCCGGACCCGGTGGCTTAAAACTCCAACCAGGCGCGCGGGGG